AGACAGGGTTTCTCTGTGTAGCTTTGGAGCCTGTCCTGGAACTCACTCTGTAGCCCAGGCTGGCCTCAAACTCACAGAGATCCGCCTGGCTCTGCTTCCCGAGTGCTGGGATTAAAGGCGTGCGCCACCACTGTCCGGTTGTATCTCCTTTTTAAATTGACTTTCATCACCTCCAAGTCCTGTTTGCTAAGTCAGAAATATAAGTAATACACACGTTAAATTTAGGTCAAGAAGTCAAATCTGCTTTTAAAATGTTTTCATTAGATTTCATTAGTACTTTCTCTCTAAACCCTTGAAATTATGTTAACGTTTTAACCTTTTTGTGTTTTATAGAGACTGACTTTAAACAGTGACATATTTGAGACACAATGTGATAGTGACCAGCAGAGTGACACAAAAGAAGACACTTCACCAAGGAAGAAAAAGAAAAAAATAAAGTGCAAAGAAGAGAAAAGTCCAGATGATCTCAGGAAAAAAAAAACAAAACTGGGAAAACTAAAAGATAAATTCAAATCAGAGCTGGAGAGCACCTCTGAAAACTTAGGTTTTGATGTAAGGACAAAGAAAAGGATTTTGGAAGTCAAGGAAGAATTAAAGGACTCCAAAAAGCCCAAAAAGGATGAAATAAAGGAATTAAAGAAAGCTAAACGGGCTGAAATAAGAGATTTAAAGTTTAAAATAAGAGAGGATGTCAAGGACAACCGGAAACCAAAGAAAGAACGGCACTTGGAATCCACACTGGAGTCTGAGTCCCCTGGACCTGATGAGTCCCTCCTTCCAGAGGATGACGGGGAGGACTTCCTTTCTGACAACAGAGAAGAGACTCCAAAGATAACAGCAGGACAGGATACAGTGCAAGAGAGTATTTTTGAGAAACATCTGGATAGCCTTGTAAGTACTGAAGAGGATGCTGGTGCCAGAGTCAGAAAGAAGAAGAAAAAGCCAAGAAAGTTTGAGGAACCAAAAGAAACCAAGAAGCTAGAGAACACAGACACTTTTTCAGAAAGGAAAATAACACCTAAAAAGCAAAGGTGTCAGGACAAGGGCCGAAGTAACCTTGAGTTAATAAGTAAGTTATCGTCACCTGTGTCTGCCCAGGCCCTGAAGAGTTCCAGCCTGAGCGGGGAAGAGAAGGGCCTAAAGGCCCCTGACTCGGCGGCGGAGGAGGTGAGGGCAGTAGAGAACTCGTAGAGCACAGAGATGATTGGTGCAGACTATCCTGGGTTTTGTGTGGTCAGGAGCTTGCACAAGGAATGGCAAAGGAAATGGTCAAGCTAGAGTGTAACTCCTCAGGTACTTAGTGAATAGGATGTCCTAAGGACTGCTGCACGTGCTCAGACCTTCAAGCACTGAGTGTATCCTAAGTTTTCACCTTGTTTATCAAACATGACAAAAAAATTGTAGAGGTATTCAGGTGTTGTGTAGCATTGTATAGACAGGCCTATTAGCTTCATCAATTTAAGTAAATTTCATTTTGGGGTGTATGTGTTCTCTTTTTAAAAAATATTATTTGAGGGGGCTGGAGAGATGGCTCAGCAGTTAGGAGCACTGGCTGCTCTTCCAGAGGACCCTGGTTCAATTCCCAGCAACCACATGGCAGCTCACAACTGTAACTCCAAGATCTGACACACTCATGCAGACATACATGCAGGCAACTCATAAAATAACAGATAAATTATTAAAAAAAAATGTTATTTGAGAATGTGATACAATGTATTCGCCCCCACTCTTCCCCTAACTTCTCCCAGATCCACTCACACCTCTCCCCTCCCCCAACTATGTGTCTCTTCTTTTTTCTTTTTTTTTCCTTTAGCTTCATCATGACCAATTTGAACTGGCCATATACTCCTGACTATGGGCCTCCACTGGCACATGAGAGAGTTACCCTTAACCTTAAAGAAAGCTCACTCCCAGAAGTCATCAACTCCAGAGCTCCTCTGCGAGGGGTGGGACTTACTGACTCCCTTTCCTTTCATGTTAGAATACTGGCTCGCTTGATCCTATGCCTTTCTTACTTCCTCCCTGCCCCTCTCTAACAAAATGTCCTACACTGTAGCCCAGGCTAGCCTTGAACTGATCCTCCTGTTACTCCCTTCTAGGGGTTGGGGATTGGGGTTACAAGTTTAGTTTTCATTTTTTTTTCTTTTTTCTTGAGTTGGGATCTCACTCTGTAACTCTGATTGGCCTGGTACTCACATAGATCTACCTGCCTCTGCCTCTAGGAATTCTGGAATTAAAGACATGCACATGTGGTGGTGCTTTTTTTCTTTTTAAGATTTTTGTTTATGTGTCTGCATGCCACATGTGTTGCTGGTACCTGTGGTACCTGCGAAAGTCAGAGGGTGTAAGATTGTTTGAAGCTGGAGTTGTAGGCGGGTGTGAGTCATCTGAAGACATGGATGCTGAGGACTGGACTTGGTTCTGTAAGAGCAGTAAGCACTCTCAGTCACTGAGACGTCTCTCCAGTTCTTAGTTTCCACATTTTTAGTTTTTCCCAGTTTTTTTAAGTACAGAAAGGAAAAAAGTACACAGTACATTAGTATTACAAATTTTTCAATTATTAAAAAATTAATATTCCAGTATTAATAATTAATAATATTAATAATTACTTTGATGTTTTTAAATAGAAATTTTCAAAATTAAGAAAATATCTGTCAAGAACTATAAAAATGAGTTTCCATTATTCTTGGTTTTGATAATTTAATCATTTTAAAAGGGGAGGAAACTTTCTATATCAAAAAGTTTAAGCTTTTCCCACTCTTTGAGACAAACCGTAACAACTCTAGCTGTCCTGGAACTTGCTCTGGTATTCATATACTTTTAGCATTAAGTATATAAGTTTGCATACTAATGAATATACTTTTTTAATATAAAAATTTAAATCTTGGCTGAATATTTAATGCTGCAGGATGTATTTTTTGGGAATTGATCCATGTCTTGATTTTATAATTTTTGGTGAGGAAAATGTTCCTTTACAAGTATGTAGTACAAGCAGATTATTTAGGGCCTTTTCAGAAACTGAAATTGTTCTAATCTCAACCCAAAAGATGAGATTATGAAACAAGGTGTCAGGCTGGTCTAGAATGAACTGGCTGTGGAGCTGAGGATGACCTTGAACTGATTGTCTTTCATCCTCAGTTTATGTAACACTAGGGCTTGAACCAAGGTCATTGTGCATGCTAGGCAAGCACTCTATCAACTGAACTACGATAACAGCAGAAGTTTTTTTTTTGGTTTTTCGAGACAGGGTTTCTCTGTGTAGCTTTGCGCCTTTCCTGGAACTCACTTGGTAGGTAGCCCAGGCTGGCCTCAAACTCACAGAGATCCGCCTGCCTCAGCCTCCCGAGTCCTGGGATCAAAGGCGTGCGCCACCACCGCCCGGGTTATTTGTGGTAGTCTTATCCTTAATGAAAAACTGGTAAGTTTGACAGGCCATGGGGAAAATGGTTCAGAAAAGGTGTCAACCTGGGGACTGTAATAGTCAATTGAAATATGAGGTCAGTGTACCAGAAGGAACACTTCAGAAAATGTGATAGAGAAAAAAACACCCACATGTACAATGTAAATAAAAAACAAAAGCATTATCTGTAGTGCTTACAAGGATACAGGGGAATGTAGAGAAATGACATCGTATGGTTGCTTTAAGTTTGGGTTTTTTAATTTTTTAAGATTTATTTGTGTGAATATTTTGTCTGTATCATGTATGTACCTGCGAAGTCTAGAAAAGGGCATCAGACCCCCCTGGAACTGGAGTTACTCATAATGGGTACTGACTGGGAACTGAACCCAGGGCCTTTATTATAAGAGCACCAAGTGCTCTTAACCTCTGAACCATCGCTGCAATCCCAAGATGAAGTTTGTTTTGGGAGTTGGGGGGGGGGGTGCGGTTTGGAGACTGGGTTTCCCTGTGTAATTTTGGTGCCTGTCCTGGATCTCGCTCTGTAGACCGGGCTTGCCTCAAACTCACAGAGATCTGCCTGGCTCTGCCTCCCAAGTGCTGGGCTGCCTGACTTTTTTTTTTTAAATTTTGTAGCACTTTAGATCTTATTGTACAAAAGATTGGATTTCACAATGACGTTTTCATGCATGTATATAGTGAACTTTGATCATATTCAAGTGTTTTTTGTTTGTTTTTGAGACAAGGTCTCACTGCGTAGAGCAAGCTGGCCTAGAATTCATGTAGATCCGTCCCTGCCTCCCTAGTGTAGGATTAAAGGTTTGCATTACCTTGCTGTGTGCAAACATTTTAAAGAATAAATTCTTAAAAGAAAATGGGGAGATGGGTAGTGGGTTTTGGGTTTTGTTTTTTTTTTTGTTTTTGTTTTTTTGAGACAGGGTTTCTCTGTGTAGTTTTGGTGCCTGTCCTGGATCTCGATTTGTAGACCAGGCTGGCCTTGAACTCACAGAGATCCACCTGCCTCTGCCTCCCGAGTGCTGGGATTAAAGGCATGCACCACCACCACTGCCTGGTCAGGGTATTGGGTTTTGAGTTTCATTTTGTATAGGCTTATTATGTCTAAAGGATAATCTTGATTGGAGGAGCAGTGGGAGAAAAATTGAATAATTACCAGCTATGTGCTCAAGTATTTGTAGAAAGACATGGATGCTTGAATATTTTGGTTTGCAAATACACAGTATCAGCTTTTTATCTATTCTTGTTTGGGTTTTGTATTCGTCTTTAGGAGAAAGAAACAAAAAAAAATGAACCCAAAGAAAAATACCAGAAAAGGTATGATTTGGACAAAGAAGAAAAATGCCGAAAAGAGCCAAAGGGATTAAAATGTAAGTGTAAAAAATATTTCCATGTTCATTGCCATCATTTAAGAAATTATTAATTTCTGCGTGGTGGTGACACACACCTTTAATCCCAGCACTCCAAAGGCGGAGGCAGTCAGATTTCTGAGTTCGAAGCCAGCCTTCTTTTTGTTTTTTCCGAGACAGGGTTTCTCTGTGTAGCTTTGCACCTTTCCTGGATCTCACTCTGTAGACCAGGCTGGCCTCGAACTCACAAAGATCCACCTGCCTCTGCCTCCCACCGCCTGGCTCAGCCTTCTTTACAGAGGGAGTTCCAGGACAGCCAGGAAACTCTGCCTCAAATAAACAAACAAATGAATGAATAAATAAACAGAATTATTAATTGATTTCATATGTATATGTGTGCCTGGGTGTATATAAATGCTCATGTATGCAGGAATCCTTGAGGGTTCAAAGAGGGCATTGGATCCCTTGGAACTGGAGTTATGGATGGTTGTGAGCCACTTGATGGGTGCTGGGAACCCAGCTGGAGTCCTTTGCAAGAGCAGTAAATGTCTAACACCTTCTGTATAAAGGACTTAGTTTACCCTGAAAGATAAGCTCTTCTCTACCCTGTCATGTTATAAAATTTTGTTCTTCAGGGAATTTAGAGCTTTACACTTTATTTAATAACTTAGCTTATTACTGGGCATTGGTGGCAAACACCTTTAATTCCAGAGGCAGTTGGATCTCTGTGAGTTCAAGGTCAGTCTGGTCTACAGAGCTAGTTCCAAGACAGCTAGAGCATCACAGAAAAACCCTTTTCGAAAAACAAAAATATAGTATATTATAATGATTGAGTGTCCTTTCTCTGAAATATTTGGGACAAAAAGTGTTTCTCATCTTTCATTCTGGTTCAATGAAATATGTACGTATAATTAGATTTTTTTTTTTTAGGAATGAACCCGTCTATATCCTAATTTTATTTTATATGTACATTATATATAAACATTTTTAGTGTTCCAGTGTTTTTGTGCCCTTGAATGAAATTAAAAGTGTAATTTTCTACTTATAGCTTCAGTTGGTACTCAAGTTTAATTTGGAGGTATTTCCAGTTTCTCTAGTGTCTGGTGTATATGTATGTGTGTAGGCAGGTGTGTGTGGGCGTTTGCCCCATGCACTCAGAGGCCAGAGGAGGACATGGGGTTACTGCTCTATCACTCTCCACTGACCTACCCTTGAGTCAGGGTCTTCCTTCCACTGAGTCTGGGGGTAAATTGCCAGTCAGCAAGCCCCAGCAATCCACTTGTCCACACCCCACATAGTTCCAGAATTTTAGGCATGTCCAGCCTTTTTTATTTGGGGGATTTGAACTCGGGTCTCATGATTGCACAGTAGGCCTTCTTACACGTTATGTCATTTCTTCAGCTTTCCTGACTTGAGGTGTTTTGTTTTTTCTAGGCTGGCCTCAAACTCACAGAACCTGGCCAGCTGCACACATTTTTAATACTCCTTTTCCTCTCCAGGTTAGAGGTGGAATTCAGGGTCTTATTCATGTTAAGCAAGTGCTTATTAGCTGCATCTCCAGTTGTAAAAGTAGATTTTATTTTAGGTCTAGATTCAGACATGGCAATAGTAATGCCATGTATCTTAGTGGCTCTTACATAAAGTAACAATAAGGACTGCATCAATTTTTTTTTTTTTTTTTGTGATATATATTTTTTATTTTACAATACCATTCAGTTCTACATATCAGCCATGGGTTCCCCTATTCTCCCCCCTCCCACGCCCTCCCCTTACCCCCAGCCCACCCTCCATTCCCATCTCCTCCAGGACAAGTCCTCCCCCGAGGACTGT